GTTCCTGGGAGGTAAAACACTTGATTCTTGCTTGGTAGTCAACATGTGTTGTTGTGTGTCCTGGTTCCCATTCATAGCAACCCTATGTAAGGCTTCCAAGGAGGGGTTGGTGGGCTTGCACTACTGACCTTGTGGTTAATAGTCCAGTGCTTATCCTACAAGGTTACACCAGGACTTCCCTCAATGCATGATGCCCCACCTTTATGCACATTTTCTCATGCTGTTGACAGAACAGCTGCAGTGCGGACCCTGCTTGAACCTCCCGCTAGTCTGACTAAACATATAAACAGGACCTTTCATATACTGAAAGACAGGGGGCACTGTCTTGCTCAATCTAGAAGGTGCCCTCAGGGTCTAGAATATGTGACTGACACCCCCCAGGAGTTGTTCATGCACAACTAGAGGTGTTTACTGCCCATGAAAAATAGGGTCAACTGGTTCCGCTTGTGAAATGCTCACGACTTCCACACACACACACACACACACTGGCTCGTACCATTTCTCAGTAGCCTTGGACCCAACTTGGTATGCTCATGCTCAAAGCTCTCTCTTTTCAGACCAAACATTCTTTGAGTCAAGGAAGCTTTTTCCACAAACTGGAAAAAAAGTTTCCCTCTCACAGCCGCCTGCCTAACGTGTAGGCATGACGTTGTGGTTAGATATGGCAGGCAGGAAAAGCAGAATGACAACTCTGAGGGAACCAAGAAAGCCCAAAGGGGAGACAAGGTTTAGAGCTAAATCAAGATTGGATTTTGTCATGAAAGGGAGAACTGGCAAAAGCATCATTACAAGGCATTAACCTTGTTACACACAGACGAACAAGCAGAGGCTGGGATTCAGAAATAAATTACACATAATAAACTAGACAGAATAGGCTGAGAGCAACATTAGCGATTATGCCCTAAGGGGAGAGAAGGGCAAGATAGAAAATAGGCCAAAAAAGAGTAAGAATAATATCTGGACACAGGGGGCCGGCTGCACTGTGCCCCCCACCCCCTTTTCTGCATGGCTCCCTAGGTATTAACTCCACTTTTGTTAGGAGGTTTCACGGGAGTCTGTCTTTCTTTTGTTTTCATTTGCTGAAATGAGCATAAGAAAGCTATTCAGAGGGCTCCTTTTTCCATTCAAGGGGACCTGTCCCTTTTTGTGTGTTTCCAGCACAAAAGAATCCATTTCCATTCAGCCCGCTGCAGCCCCCAGAGTTTGCATGAGGTCCAAGCCTCCTTTTCCCTACTTTCTTCCAGGCCCACATTTGTAATTGATTATAAAATTCTGACTGTGGCTAGGGTGCTCCAGGGCAGTGAGAGGAGCAAGCCTTTGCCTGGTTATTGAGGGAAGTCAGGGCCCAAATCTCAGGCCAGCAAATCTTGATTCATTTTTTATACAATATGACTTATCTTTAGCTGCAAGAAACAGAAAAACCAACCAAACAGTAGCGTAAACCATGACATTTATTCTTAATGGAATAAAAAGTGTAACGGTTGGAGTTCCTATGGCTCAGAACCTAGAGTGTCCCCATCTTTCCTCTGCACCGATCTAAGCTGTTGATCTTCACCCTCCAATTTGAATCTCATGGAAGCAAAATGACCACTCCTGGCTGTTGATGCCACACACTGTTTTCAAAGGGAGGAAGTGAAGGAAGAGGGCAGAGGGGCTATCTGCCAGAGCCTCCTCTTATCAAGGAGAAAATTCATTCCCAGAAGTCCCTCCAGCCATTCTGTTCTTACTTCTTACATCTCACTGGTCATGGTGGGGTCAAACAGCCACACCGCCTTCTACCACATCCACTCCCAGCAGTTGCTGTCTGACTCATCAGGACCCCATGTATTTCAGAGGTGAACCACACATGGTAGCGTTTTTCAGTGGTGGTTTTTCTGAAGTACAATGCTAGACCTTTCTTCTGAGAGATTTCTGGACAGGCACAAGCCTCCAATCTTTCAGTTTAGCAGCTGAAATGGAAACTCTTTATACCACCTAGACCTAAAGGGTGGGAAAGCAAGTTATCTGACCATGGGGAATGAGATTACCATTTGGCTTGAATGGATTATGGCTTCCCTGAGACCTGAACTCATTGCTACCTGAACAAAGTTAGATTCCTTTCTGCAAAAAAAGACAGCAGAAAAAACTGTCGTGGGTGTGGCGGCCATTGTTTGTGATTTTAATAAGATAATGAGAGCAAACATGAACTGAGTGTTGCTGGCTGCCAGATGCTGTTCTCAGTCTTGTATGTGTTCTAATTCATCTAGTCCTTCTAACAGGCCCATGGGGGTGATGCTATCATCATCACTTCCATTTCATAGAAGAGGAAACTGAGTCACAGCTCTCTGTGACTCAGTTACAGAGGTAATAAATAATGGGTGCAACGTTACTCATCTACCAAGTGACAGAGCCAGGATTTAAACCCAGGCAGTCTGACTCACTCACTATCCTATACTGTCTCTATTGTTGTTGTTAAGTGCTGTTGAGTCGATTCCAACTCATAGCGACCCTTTACAGGGTTTCCAGGAGTGGCTGGTGAGTTTGAACCAACAACCTTGCAGTTCAAGCCGACCTAGGGGTCCAATGCTTATCCTACAGTGCCACACCAGGACACCTTAGTGTCTCTATTAGGTTAGATGATAGAATGCTCTAGGTAGCAAATTATAATTTTCATTTCTTCTTCATAACAACCCTACCAATCAGGCATCATTGTCCTGACCCTCAGCTGCATTACATAATTTGCCCAGGTCACAAAATTCAAGCCTTATACTCTGGCCCAGCCCCAGATGCTTTGTACCCGGCCACTAGCCCCTGGAAGTTTGGAAATACTGATTTATTGCCTGGACTAGTTACCTTTGCTGTTGATCTAGGACTTAATTTAGAAAACAACAGTTACTGAGGAACAGCCACAAGTTGGAGAAGGGCACAAGAAAGGGTGAGGCAGTAATTTAGAACCAGTATCCTCCTTGTTCCCTTTCAACTTTTGAACTTCTTCTGTTGTTCTTGAGACAGTCTTTCACAAACAAGGTATCTCATCCTACCTCAGTAGAGGCCATCTTTGGCATCATGATTCTTGACAAATCAGAAAAGCTACAATTATTAAACATCTACTGTATATCAGAACTGTATGTATATGGTCCCATTTGGTCCTTGTGGATAGTCTACAATCCAAGGCCATGACTCTTTGTGTGCGATGGGATGAGTAGAGACTGGATCCCTCCAACCAAAGATGGCACTACTCTTAACATTTCCGCTGTCCGTACAGAGATTATATCCAGTCATCTGACTGACCTCTCTGGGATGTTCAAAGATTTAATAAAAATGATTAACCTGGACAGCCGATCTTAAGTTTGAACAATCTTGGTTTTCTTTGAAAGCAAAATGTGTGGTGTGCTTTTGTGTGTTTTTTTCCCTTTAATCTAAAGGTCACCCGATTTTTCTTTTTCTTGCTCATAGTCACGCGGCTTCCTTATCTAAACAGTGATCTATTGTTCTGATTCTTAGCCCCATAGAGATTTTTTCTCTTAACTTCACTTTTAACAGGACAGCTCCTCGTCTTCCCAGACTGCATGAAAACTATCTTTTAACAGAGGCGGGAAAAAAAAGCTCTCTCATGGCCTTTCCAAAAAATCTTCAAGTGAGTTCACTATAGAGTATTTTATGCAAATAAATCACTTTCTCTTAGGTTCTGACATCTTTTCCTTGAAAAGCGATCATGGCTTTGGCGGAATCCTTGCTAGCTTATCTTTTCCTCACAGTGCAACTTCCACAAAGAAATACAGACAGTATTTTAAAGGCTTCAGAAATCAATTTTGTCCTTGAATCCATTTAGTTTAGATGTTAATGAAACTTGGTGGGTTCAAAAATAATGAATATTTAATAAGACATAAATTGAAAGACATAAACACTGTTGGCAATAATATAATGAAGTTAATAAGTCTTAGTCTTCCCCGCTACCCACCACCCCTCTCCAAAAACAAGGCGATTTTAGGAGTTGCTGACTGAAGTTTGCCAGCTCTCCCATTGGCTAAAACTTAACTGTGCCTTTGAAAACCTTAATACAGTTGGAAACTGAGCTCTGGCAGATAAAGCATGCTATCTCACTGTGCTCAATAGCTACAGACGGCAACGGCTCTTGCTAACTCCATATCTTCCAAAGATTTGTGTTACAAACTCAGTTTCCTGTCGTTGAAGGCAGGAAGCAGTATGAAGTACTTTATTCCTTTAAACCTGAAAGAAAAAAGACATTTGGGTTGACACTCTCTCTGCTCTGGGTTTAAAGAGGGGCTTTATTTAATGATCAGGAACAAGCATATGATTATATGGGCTCAAAGCCTCAGACAATTTAAATGCCTTCGGGTTGAGAGTTATGCTTTTTTTTTTTTTGTTTCATCTTCAAGAGCATCAACATCAGGTTCAGACCTTCTGCTTGTGACTCTGTGACTCTGTCTTACTCACTGTGGGTAAGACATATTTTCCCCTCTGAATTAATTACCCAGTCTTTGGATTTCACTTTAGACCTCTCTTGTCAAACCCGAGCCCTCCTCTCTGTCATCACACCCAATAGGCTAGTCTGTCTCACATCTTGGGAAATGGCTTGTATTTAACCTCACAGAAGTCAAAGTCTAGCTAAAATGAATTGCAACAGGAACCTGCAAACAGCCAAGAACAAGATTGTTTCCCTCCCAATTCAGCAGCGGGCTCTCTCCTGGCAATAAAGTGAAAGTCAGCTTCATGTGTTAGCTGGGGGAGTGTTAGATGGATGGCTAGCTCACCACTGGCAATCAATACATAGTAAACAAATGGCTTTCCATAGATTGGGCAAACATGGTGATTTTGTGGATAACGGCACAGAAAGGTTGCTCTTAGGGATCTTGAGTAAGAAAATGACTTTGGTGCACAGAAATGGGATCCACCCAAGGAGGAGATGTGACATTTTATCATTATAATGACAATTATCACTGTTAAACTTTATCTTTTCTTTTTTCTTTTTAAATTTGTGCGTTTGTGTGCATGTTCAGAAAGAAGGGGATCAACCAGAAAGAGTCCAACCAATTGCATCATCTACCTTGATCCATTCCGACCTGACGTCCGTTTATGGCACCGTGGTCTTGAACAGGACTGTTTTATTCTTGGGGACTGGAGATGGCCAGCTACTTAAGGTTGGTTTTCTGTGCCTTCTTTGATGCCTGTTTTAGTAATGATCTTCTCTCTTCCTCTCCACCCCCATTTTTTCACCTTTGTATTGCTTCTGGGTTATATACAAGACTATACCACTATATGCACTAAGTGCACTATAGGCACTTCTCTGAGGCCCCCAGAAATGGCTTGAAAGAAATTCTGGAAATCCATAAACCACCCTTGCCGTGCAGTGAAGCACCAGCCAGCCACTTCGCTTCCCGGGAGAGTGCCAAGATATTTTCCCTGACTTACTCAGACTCTCCCTGGGTGAGGCAGATGGGGGTCTGGCCCCTACCCTGTCCCTGACTCACCTTCCTAAGACATTTAACCTTTCAGTTCTTTCTGCTTTATAATGGATTGTACAAAGCACCTGATTTCTCACAACTTCAAAGAGATGAGAGATTATAGGGCTTAAAATAAAGAAAAAACAGGCGTTTCTTTCCTTCAGCCCACTTGCCACCCACAGAGGGGGTTTGTTTTCTGCCCTTTGTGCCCGCACATACCACAGAGAGGTTAGAGATCTGAAATCTTTTGAGACTCCATTTGACTTTTATCTCCGAAGACTATTTTTCCCCACGGTCTGGACCAACTCTTATCCAGTGTTGAGATTTTTATTCCCTGACAGGACAAGGGGGATGAAAATGAAATCAGAGATCTCAAATGACTTGTAGTGATCATCTGTCATTTGCTAGGAGGCCTGGTGTGGCATTGTAGGATAAGCACTTGACCACAAGGTTGGTTTGAACCTCAAGATTGGCAGTTCAAACTCACCAGCTGCTCCTAAGAAATCCACTATATAGGGTCACTATGGGTCAGAAACAACTCGATGCCACTTACTAACAACAACAAGGGGCATGACACAGGACTGGGCAGTGTTTCTTTCTGTCATAAATAAGGGTGACCATGAGTCAGAGGCGACTTGACGGCAACCAACAGCAGCATTGCATCATTGCCATCATCAGCATGCATTTATTATAGCCTTGGAACCACACACATTCGTCTCCTAGGCTGATCATTCCAGTGTCTTTCAGATGCTGTCAGCTCATACTCTTAATACCAACAGATGGTAGTTATCTGTCACTGATAACTAGCTGTGTGACGTTAGGTGAATCACTTACCTTCTCTGAAACCCCATTTCCTCATCCATGAAATGAAATTGTTCTGTTGTTTTTGTTGTTAAGTACTGCCAAGTCAATTCCTACTCATAGCAACCCAATATAGGGTTTCCGAGGAGTGTATTGGAACTACTAACTCTGTGGTTGGTTAACAGTCCAGTGTTTATTCTATAGCACCACACCAGGGCCCCTAATACACCCCTTTCCAGTTCTGTCTTCTATACACCAAGCTGCTCTTCCAGCCAAACTTACGTATGTGCTTTTCTCCAAATGTCTATGATATGGTTCTGGTTCTGCTTCTACATTCTTGCTCTTACTATACCTCGTACCTGGAGTACTTTCTTCCTCTCTCTGCTTTCCTGATTCCTACCACCCATCTGTCAGTTTGCCTACTGTGTGTGGTGACTTGTGTGTTGCTGTGATGCTGAAAGCAACGTCACCAGGATTTTAGATATCAGCAGGGTCACACATGATGGACAGGTTTTAGTGGAGTTTCCAGATTAGAACAGATTGGCAATCAACTTCTGAAAGTTAGCCACTGAAAGCTCATGGACCACAGCAGAATGCTGTCCAGTGTAGTGCTAGAAGACGAGCCCCCTAGGTTGGAAAGCACTGAAAACACATTATGGGCACAGCAGTGGGCACAAGCACACCAACGATCGTCTAGGCCGTCAACATTTGGTTCTGTTACCTATGGTGTCGCCTTGACCTGGAGCCAGCTGGACAGCAGCTAACAACAGAAACCTGTGTACAATTTGGCTCCACTCAAACGTCACCTCTGCTTTAGGGCTTCTCAGCCTTAAACGATCTTGTTTCCCCCTCCTTTTCTACAATCCTCATTGTCTAAATCATTCTTTTGGATTCTTACAAATGCCTTCCTTTGATTCCAAACCTTCTCAATTGTATTGGCCTTGCCTTCCCAACTGGATTTTAAGCTTCCTGAGAAGGGAGCCATGCATTCCCACCTTCTGATACAGTGCTGAGTGCCTGATAGACATTTGATTTAATCTTGTTTTCTTTGGAGGAAACCCGGTGGCATATGGGAGGGAGTTTGTTTGTATACACATTCTTTTAAAATATACATTGATCATCTTTCCTGTTGTGTTAGCTTTATTTCCCTGGGAAAGGTAAACACCCATCAGTCATTCTGTACAAGTCTCTCAATACCACAAGGAAACATCTGTAGCTTCACCTACCTGGTTAGGCTGATTGGACCCCTTCACTAGGCAGAAGAAGTCTCCATCAGTCCTAGCAGGGCTTCCTCACAAATTCTCCTTTCAGATTTGGGATATTTTTGACAAGTGTTTTGACAAGAACACTGTTTCCCCAAAGCCGAGCCAACCAAACTGTTACATGGTAAATTGGAGGTGAAGGAACACTTGGCTATAAATAGTCCCCCATAGGACGGCCTGGTTTTGCCTGTCCTGTTTGTTCACCCCAACAGCTCATGTGCTGTCAGTGATGTTGGGGTACATGAAGACCAGGGATGAGCTGCAGCTTTATGCTACTGAGTTGGAGGGGCTGACTGCAGCCTCAGAATCTATCGGGGCTGCCCCTTCAAAGGCCATAGCAAACACCAAGGGCAGGCTGTTTTGCTTATTTGTTGCTGCTAACATTTATTTATACAATGCTTCCCTCTTCATATTCCAGTCCTCATTTGAACCTCCCCACAAGTCTTTGAGGTACACATGTTGTTGATAACTGCCATCGAGTTGCCCCTTACTCGTGGTGACCCCATGCACATATGAAACGAAAGGCTGCCCAGTCCTCTGCTATCCCCATGATGCTTGTGGTTTGAACTGCTATGATCCATAGGATTTTCACTGGTTGATTTTCAGAGGTAGATCACCAGGCCTTTCTTCTTAGTCTTAGTCTGAAAACTCCACTAAAGCCTGTTTAGTATCCTGGAAACACACAGCCTTCCACTGACAGACAAGTGCTGGTTGTGTATGAGATTGACTGGGACTCGAACCTATGTAGCCAGCATGGAAAGTGAGAATTCTACTAGTAAAGCCCTTGAGGTAGGTATACGATTCCCATTTTACAAAGTGAGGAAACTGAGGTCCAGGGAAACTGCATTAACTTGCCCAGGGTCACATAGTGGTAAAGCATGGATTTGAACCTTAACTTTATACACTGCACTATTAACCTTCTGGAGTCCTGGTGTGGCACTGCAGGATAATGCACTAGACCGAAAGGTCAGTTTGAATAGCCACTCCATGGAAGCCCTATATTGGGTCACTATGAGTCAGAAGTGACTCCCCAGCACTTACCAAGAGCAATAACCACATCACTACACTGACTTTGTGACCTCTGCCCAGGCAGGTTGCAGGGTCTGTGGTTAGGCGTCCTAGAGGCTCAGGGAAGGATCCCAGCTCTAGTGGAGAGTGCTGGTCATCTCACTAAGGGAATAAATTCTTGGGAATTAGTAATTCCCACCCTCTCATAATTTCTTTCTGGAAAATTTCCTTCTTCTGGAGAAGGTTATAAGAGATGAATCTGAGCTGAGTTGGCCCTGCCAGGCTCTCTAGTACAACCGAACAATTCCCGAGACTCCCTCATTTAGCCTCTATGTGGGTTCTGGGATGCAGCCCTGGGGATTGGACCAGTGATTTGGAAGCCACAGATAATCCCCCAATCCTTGTATTCAAAAGCTTCAAGCTTCTCCCTTGCCAGCTTGTCACCAGAACTGTTAGAAAAGACGAGCACTGATAGACACAAGTTTGGCTTCTTAAGCCTCAGAGTGGAGGAACTAATGAGTGGCGAAAAATAAAACTAAATCCAACGCAAATGCTGCAAGGAAGAGAAGAAAGAGCGCTTGGATTAGCCACAGCCTGACTCATCAGTTTCCCAGTGATCCAGAGTTGACAGCATTTTGACATACGCCAGGCACTGTAGTATATGCCTGGGTGGATGAGAGACAGACAACAGCGACTGGGAACCAGCTGCTGTTTTTTAACCACAACAAAAAAAACTGACTTCTCAAATCTCGGAAAACTTCATGGAGTTTTCATGTAATTTGGTGCAACTATAAACATCATGCTATTAAAATATGTCTTCTTATAAGAGTCATGTATGCTCACATAGAAACTTGTCAGCAAGCAGAGGGCCGGGGTTGGTTGGTTATATGCCGTGGAGTCGGTTCCGACTCATAGCGACCCTGTACAGGGTTTCCGAGGCTGTAAATCTTTACAGGAGCAGAAAGCCTCATCTTTCTCCCACGGAACAGCTGGTAGTTTCGAACTGCTGACCTTGTGGTTCACAGCCCAATTCGTAACCACTATGCTACCAGAGCTCCTTAGAGGGCCGGGAAGGCAAAGAAAAAAGGATCCATAACTCCATCATGTACAGGCAACAGCATTCTACAATTTTGTGTCTTTTTATTTTATTTTTTTATGTAACTGATTCAGACTCTATATACAGTTTAACATCCTTTAATGCGTATATTAAAATGTTATTACAAATTCTTTGTAAATGGTTTTAATTGTTAGTGTTCTTAGTTGTTATTAATTCAATTCCGACTCATGGAGAACCCCGGTGTGCAGAGTAGAAACTGCTCCATTGGGTTTTCTGAAGCGGATCACCAGATCTGTCCTCTGAGGCATCTCTGGGTGGATTTGAACCACCAACCTTTAGGCTACTGCCTTTCTGTTTGCATCAACCAGGAGGGACAGTTGGTATTTTCAATAGTTGTGTATTATGCTATCCTGTGGAAACATTGCCTTTTGAACTTAATATATTGAGTCACTTTCAACATGTCATTAAAGACATGCATGTCTTCCAAGGTAAGTTTTTTGTGATCATCAGTGGAAACACTTGGTAGTATGCTAATACCTAAGCTGCCCTCATCTCCTGTCTTTACTCTG